TTTCTTCGTCCATAATTTCTTCTATGTCTCCTTCTGTAAATGTCGTGAAGGCGAAGTCGGCATCCAAACGATCCAACACTTGAGTTCGTAACCTACGTACAGTTCTATTTCGAATGCTCGTGATGTTGTCCATCTATATCTAGGAAATATTTTAACCTTCGTTTGCGACCCTACAAGGAATCTAAATATCTTCGCAAACACAGCAGCAGTAAGGCGCTCCTCGTTGCGGTCGCCGGATCGCGCAAGGGGGTCCCAAGCCCCAGTAATACCCGCATAATTCCAGGTGCATTGCCGACGCTCCGCGAGTCCGCCTTACTGCTGCTTAAATATTTGGTGTAATTTTATATTTCATTCAATATTTAAATAAATTATCTGTAGAAATATATAAAATTATTGATTGAACTAGACGCCCTTCGTGGCGTGAACTCGGGCTACCATAGTGTATTCGATGAAGTATAAGCAATTGGAGCCCCAGCCATGTTTTTTGGTGTGTGGTTTGCATAATGATGGGAAACAGCAACTTCTCAAAGGAATACCATTGGTATTATTGGCATCTGAATTTGTATATGTAATAGGACTCCATGCTGTCTAATTAAGAAATAATTGGACGAGGAAAATTCCAAGGACTGACAAAATTGGATGAGGCCGTAGGCCGAGTCTAATTTGGCAGTCAGAGGAATTTTTCGAGTTCTAATTATTTCTTGATTGGGGAGCATGAAATCCCATTACCTATTAATTATATAGCTGCATAATTAATCCCATATCAGCAAGACCTGTCCAATTAAGAAAATAATCGGACAGTTACTTATATGGGATTAACGAGAAGCTGTATAATTAACTGTATAATCGCTTCACTCTGTTCAGGTTGGGTTTGTACATTAAAAGGATTATCAGTAGCATTGCTTTGTATGCATGTCTCAGTAATACACACTCCTCTGAGTTCAAATAAAACTGTTAAATTGTCATATAAACTTTGGAAGTAATTTATTAAAGTCATCAACATCGAGGAGTACACAAGTACCTTGAGGATGGGAGAGACCTGATGGATTACAAGCATGAGAGTCAAATATCCTAAATCTCCCATCACCATTACAGCAAATAGCTACTGTATTACATTGAATRGTTAACRGGAATGACTGGTAATTTTCTCCAATTAAAATTTGCAAAGCATTACCTAAGGGCATTCACTAGAGTAAAGGAAATCGACAGTAGATGAAATATCATGAATATTACCAGTGTAACTTGGGCTGTATTCCATCTGGTAATTAGTTTCTAACACTGTTACCATTCAAGGTAATTCTGTCAAAAGTAAAAAGTCTTGTTTGTGCAATCTTGACAGGACAGTATATAACTCATTCCCAGTATACATAATGCTTACTAAATCTGCTGAAGAACTTGAGTTTCTATGCTTATATATCAATGCACACAGTGACATGGCTACACATTGACAACCAGCATTTGGCCCAGATAATTCAATATTACCTTAAGCTGTGGAGCAGAAATTGGGATAAAAATGGGATAAACTACACGAAGTACATTTTTGTGAACTTGGATTTGTCAACAGTGGAAGCGTATTTTTCTGTTTTTGTGCAAAAGACCAGTGAGCTGTTTGACTGGAACTCTACTTGGTTCTCGATCACGCGAAACAACACGAGGCTTGTGCTCAACATGACAAAGGAATTTAGCATTCCTTTGATAAATATGACTTTTTATTGGGATGAACAAATACAGATAATTGTACAGCTTTTTTGAATATATCGCAGTTATGCCATAAAGAGTTTGCCAAAGTCTTTGTTGACACATTTATGAAATGTTGTACAACCAAAACTATGCACAAGGCAACGATCAACACACTCGTTAATGATAGCTGAACGAACGATAAACTGCTGAAGAAACTGTTCAAAATTGCAAACAAAATAATAAACAAAAAACGTATTCTCACTGTTATTGATGTAAGTCCAAGACTTCTTGATTCTATTCTTCTGGAAAGGCATTTGTTATCTAGAGAGATTCCAATATGGCATCTATGTTGTTTTCTCCGTATCAGACCGCCGAGCGGACCGCAGACCGCCGAGCAGCGCAGGCTTACACATTTTCGACAACGTCGATAGATAGACTTATAGAAAACCGAAACCTAGACTCGGGCTTACCACAGGTAGCCCGAGTAATGAAAGTCAAGAATGGTTTGCCAACGGGACCCCGTGATAGGAGGAGAACAAAGCTGTATTTTTTTCTTGAACGAAAAACATACGATAGCTGGTTAAAAACAACCGAATTGTTAAAGATTTACAAAGCTAAATAAAGACGAATGTTTGTTGTAATATTTGCTCTCCGGGTTAAATTTTATCCAGCATTGAAATAAATTAGGCTTATCTATAAAAATATTAAAAGTTTTGAGAGAAATTCCTTTATTTGTCGATAAAAATTCTTGTCATAAAAATTACACGATGGTTTGCTAAAAAAAACACACACCTGACTTCTTGCAGAACACTTCTTGATCCACCTTTGACTACATGAAAGTTTTTTTTATTTCTTGTTAGTCTATAATTTGTCCTAAAGCGAATTTTTCTGCGCATTTGAGAGCCGCATTTGCAAGTAGTTTTGCTTTGACCCACAAGCGGAATTCCTGTGTTGTGTACACGTACAAACATACGGACGGACGGAAGTGACGTCAGCCAAGCCATGAAAAATCAACCAGGTGATTTGACGGAAATCGATTAACCAATCAGATTGCGAAATGCGTTTGCTGAAAAAGAATCAATCTCAATAGACCTTTGCGCGCCTCGAGAAGCAGAAAAAACCAGATATGTGGATCGGTAATAAGGTTAACTTTGTTGGCTATACGAATTACAAAATCGGATAAACACTTACTTAAAATAAGCTTTTCTTGTAAAATTTTACTTATACATAACTTGAAACATTACTATAGACTTCAAATGTGCAGCTATGACTTCAGTCTTTTCACCAATATTTCGCACTACATTTCAAGAGAATACATATTCAAATCCAACTCAAAACAAAATGGCGTCCTTCACGGCATTGTTTTTTGCAGGACTCTAGGCGCGCGGTCGTGTTAGGGATTGATTCTTTTTCAAGTCAGAATAGCATGCTTTGCGCGCTTTCCGAGATCACCTGGAACTCGATGGTTTAACATTTTTTCTTAAGTATGGTGCTCCGCTCGGGAGCTCTGCTATAAATGCAAATTCGATCTATAGGCTCCCTTATCAATTGGGTTGCAAATTCTGTTAGGTATTAAGTCGTCTACCCAGGAATGGTAAATGAATTAGAAGCCCCCTTACCTCCGCGGTAATTTTTTAAAAAATTTTCGGTCTCGTTATAAACCTCCTACATTAAAGAACTACCAGCACGAGGCCTGTGGCACATTGACAATCCGGCCTCAGATATATTTTCTAGCTTCTTGTCACATTTCAAAGCGTTTCTAGCCTTACTACAACAGCTGCACAATTAAAATGGAACAAGCATTATTGCTTCTATAAAATGAATCCCCCTTTCCACGCCCTAAATAAGCCTATCCAAAAGTCCTTACGAAATTTACTGTTTATAAACAAGAATCTACGGTATAGAATGAATATCAATCTAAACGATAGGTGGAACGCATCTTAAATCACAACCATCTAAACAGCATTTTAGCCGCATTCTAGGGTGCAAATTATTGCAATCCATGTCGTTTTTACATTCATCATCTGATTGTGATGGACATTCGGCAGCTGTAGGGAAGATTGGGCAGATACCATTGACTTTAGGTGGCATGCATCTTAAATCACATCCATCTATACAGCATATTAGCCCTAATCCAGGATGCGACTGATTGCAATGGAAGTCGAGTTTACATTCATGATCTGGTTCTGTTGGACATTCAGCAGGTGTAGGAAAGATTGGGCAGGCATCTGAAGGTGTTGGAGTGGGTGGCGCTTTTCCTTGAACTGGAATCACGCACCTTCGGTTCCGGCATGTAGTAGTGCAACACTTCACAAATGACTTCAACGCAGGATACTTTTGTTCGCAATCTTCATCGTTGAAGCATTTACTTACATAGTATTTACCACATTCCCTTGGGTGTTCAGGAAGAAGACTGGGGCAATACATTGGTTGGTTAATAACAGACTCAACGACAGGAGGAAAGCACCTAAAATCGTTCCCATCACTGCAGCATTTCAGGCCTTGTCCCGGGAATTTTGCATCACAACTGGCATCGTTTTGGCATTCTTGGTCTGGTCCTGGAGGAGACGCGCTTGAGGGAGGGTTGGTGGGGCACTTTGCAATCAATTTGGTAAGGATCTTCAATTTTTTGAATAATTTTACTGGGGTTACTTCCACTACGGACACTTTAGGAGACACACAACTCCTGCCGCAGTCATCACAGCACTTCAAACCCTTACCAGAATAAGCTGCTTCGCAATCCTGATCATTATTGCAAGAATTAACCCGGTTTGGTGGACAATGGGAAGAAAGGCTCGGAGGGCATCTTGTTAAGGTATATGGAAAACACTGGACGGGTTCAAGGTCCAAATACGCCAATAGAAAAACCAACCAAACTATTGAATACTTCAGGTCAGCCATCTTCTTGGTACTATAAAAAATACAAGAACATGTTACAATTATTAATTATTGAAACATTACTAGTTCTACCCATGTTGAGAAAACAAACTGGGTCGAGTTAGCATCACAATGCGTTTTGGGGATGTTTTAGGGGACGAAAAATACGCCATTTTGAAAATATGTCCCCTAAAACAGTCCCACAATGCACTATAATGCCAGCTCGACCCATTTTCTCTCAACCTCGGAACGAATAATTCTTTGCATCGTAACAATGTTTTTGAACGGATAATATAATTTTATCATCCATGGCACTGGGTTACCCTTCTGCTAAATCCACTAATGTCAAACCCGATTATTCACAGGCAACCCAAGCAGATAAAACGAAATTTCTTATACTGGTAGGTACAAAATAATGTGTTTATTTTTTCTTGGGTATATAAGTAAAATTGTATATATATATTATTTTAAAGGCCTATCTGGACGAGAAATTATGACGTTGATCTTAAGTTGGATGACAACTTTTGAACGTTCGATTTTGAGCCCACGATGTGCGCTCACTAAAAAACCGCTGAATAATTTCCACGATTTTATTAAAGAACCATACACGTTTTCAACTTCGAGAGGGCAAAACCCTCATATTTTGCACGGGCCTCTATACCCTTTTTGTTATTTTCCGGAATAACAGGCAACATACCATTATTTTTCAAAGTTTAATACAATTCTGTTTATTAGAACAATGTAAAAAAAATCATTCTGTTTGTTTTGTGCTCAATTTTTACCGAACTTGCACACCGTAGAACCTGAACAAAAATAGTTTTTCCATTGTCTACAATAGTTTATTAAATCAACTTTTATAAGCTTTTACAAATATAGCGTAAGTTTCGTGTTCGGATAAAATTACTCATGTTTCTTCCTTAGTTTCGGATTTATGATTTTTTTGTACAGAGCTTGATTTTCGCTATTTTTCTTCGAAAATTGTACAAACGCATGTCATTCCGGAGTGATTATATCAAAAACAAGCTCGGGACACCCCATTTTTCGTTGCATTTTTGAAATCAGAAATAAATTTCAGAGTTTCGATTTTTAATTTTCTGTTTATTATTTATCAAAGTAGTCAGCCACTTTAACTCATGAAATCGCCGCATATTGACGATTCTTAAAAGTCACGTGCATGCTGGCTTAGTCTCGTTCCTAAAATAGGAAACAAAAGCGGAAATTACACTAACAAAAACAAATATCACCTGGATTCGAGGTAAAGCCCGCATCACGTAACTTTTAAAAATCGTGAATAAACAAACCCGTGATTGTAAATAATGCTCAATCAAATTGAACATACAAAAATCGAAATAAAAAACTAGATGAAGATTTTTTTAACAGTTATTGTACAACTGAATATTTATTGTGAATGATTTACTGTTAGTCTCAATTTCATACATTTGTTGCATAACGCATGGTGTATAGAGTTGCAGTTAGTCAGCAGTCGTCGCTGAGTGCGGTTTCATCAGATAAACCATATTTGGCCAAGTATACTGCCTTTGGTTTAAAATTAAACGTCTATCGCACTCTCTAGAATATATAGTTATGTCTTGTCTTTTCAAACTTTCGTTAGTGAAAGTTGTGGCCCAGAAGTAATTCAGCCAATGTTCTCCTCGTTAAATCATGTAGGAAGGACATAAAGAGTAAAAAGAGTTTTTTTATGGTTTTCTGGAGCCGAAACGGAGATTTAGTTGTAGTGAGAAGAGGATTTTTGAGAGGCCTAAGAATCTAGAGGAATTGACTATTTGTTCAAGCCATACAGGTCGCAGCTTGGGATTGGCTGGAGAAGACAGCAGGAAAACCTGCAGGAAAACCTGCTGTCATTTTAACAATTAAAATTAGGCACTACATGCAATAAATAACAAATGGTGGGGTTGCGTTTTGAGAGGCTTGTTTAGGCATTATTCATTCGCCTGCTAGTAAGAAAAACCTACTGGAAAATGCTTTAGTACAGTATTTCATGTGTCTAGCTAAGCAAACTAGTGAGTCTAAGAGAAAATTGTTTCCTTAATTTAACAATTGATTATGAAATTGATTGTGACTTTGATGAAGATCATTAAACTTTTAATTGAAATGTTTCGACGTTGTCAAACGCCATCCTCAGAAAGTGAAGTACAAGTGTACACAACATAGTATATACATTTTGGAACTGCCTAAAAGCGGAGCTCCCAATAGCACA